TGTGTGTGTGTGTGTGTGTGTGTGTGTGTGTGTGTGTGTATGCTGTGTAATTGTTTCCTCAGATATTGAAACATTCCACCCCACCTGGAAGCTCTTTAAACAGGAAGGTAAAAAACTCAAAATAGCCTCAGGAAGTCCCTGAAACTGAGCAGATCCACTAGGCCTCTCTCTGCCAGCTATAAAAGCTGAGAGACCCTCTCAGAGGAGCCAAGCAGCAAAGAAGACCCCGAGATCAGAGCAGCTTCCTGGAAGAAGCATAAACCAGCCAAGCTGCTGGAAGAGGTTTGGACAAACTGAGTCACCTGGAAAGGACACTCTCCAACCTGTTGAATTGCCTGCAGGCTCTGCAGTGTGCTCTAGCACCCCAGCTTTGTGAACTGTCACCCATGGTGGGGTGGGCTTTAGTGATGAAGCTGTCATTGAGTCATTTCTGCTCCTGTAAGTAACCCTTCACCCATATTCCTGTAAGTAACCGCAATAAAATGCATTGGTTTACTAAGTTGGACTTTGGTGGTATCTCTATTTTGGTCTATTGTGATCTCCCTTATCTGGAGTGAACAGAGGTATAGAGGAGTGTGGGTAGAGGTGTGTGTGTGCGTGTGTGTGTGTGTGTGTGTGTGTGTGTAGTGTAGTGTCTCCCAGGGAAAAGTTTTATCATATAACAACATGAATATGTGTGTGTGTGCATGTGTGTGTGATTACTCACGTTTCACAGTGTGATTGTGGAGGTCATAGGACCATTTACAGGAGTTGGTTATCTACTATTGTGTGAATTCCCAGGATCAAACTCAGATGACCAGGCTTGGCAGTAAGCTCCTTTACTCACAAGCCCAGAATTGCAATTGTTTTCACTCTCCAGAGGAAACCGAATGACGTGGCTAGGTGTGATCTTAAGAAAGAAACATTTTAAATTGACTTACAGGGGTGGTGGTGGCTGAGAATAGAAAAAATTACACTGGCGGCTGAATTCAAGATGACAGCAAAAGGTTCCTTCATTATGACCAAGCTAGCTTCATTCCAGATATACAGGGATGGTTCAACATACATAAATCAATAAATTTTACCTATCACATAAAAGACCCACAGACAGAAATTTCGTGATCATCTCAATAGAGATTTGCCTTTGACAAAATTCAATATCCCTCCATGATAAAAGTCATGGAAAGGCTACAGATATGGGGAGCATACCTCAATTTAACAAGGGCTATATATGACAAACCTATAGCCAACATCATACTAAATGGAGAAAAACTCAAAACATTCCTAGTAAGACAAGGATGCGCACTCTCTCTACTCCTGTTCAATACAGTGCCTAATGTCTTAGAGCAACAATGCAAGAGAAGAAACTAGAGTTACAAATAGGAAAAGAAGACAAAATATCCCTATTTGCTAATGATATGATTGTATACATACAATAAAGAAAGAATCCACCAAAAAAAAACCTTTTAGAGCTAATAAAGACTTTCAGCAAAGTTATAGGTTACAAAATAACCACACAAAATTCAGTAGCCTTCATACTAACAAAGAAATCAAAGAAACAATCCCATTCACAATAGCCACCAATGAAATAAAATACTTGGGAATAACCCTTACCAAGGAAATGAAAAATCTCTACAGTGAGAATTTTAAGGCACTGGAGAAAGAATGAAGAAGACATTAGAAGATGGAAAGATGTCCCATGCTCATGGATTGGAAGAATTAATCTTGTGAAAAATGGCCATCCTACACAAAGCAATAGATTCAATGATATCTCAATGAAAATCCCAGGGCCATTCTTCACAGGCTTAAAAAAAAAAATCTCAAAATTTATGTGGCAGGACCAAAAGCTAAGGCTTGTCAGTACAATCTTGAACAAAAATAACACTGTGGCAGGTATCACCCTATTTTATTTATTTCAGATTATACCACAGACTCATGGTATTAAACATACATGGTACCAACCCAAAAATAGATAGGCAAGTGGACCCAGATTAGTCCATATAAATACAACTACCTGATTTTTGACAAAGATGCCAAAAATGTACATTGAAGAAAAGATAGCATCTTCAAGAAATGGTGCTTGGAACCTGGATTTTTCAACACGTGGGACTGGACCCTCTTCTGCAACCCACACAAAATTCAATTGCAAATGGATAAAAAACCCTCAAATAAGACCTGAAAGTCTGGAGTTGCTAGAGGATAAATAGGGTGTAAGCTTCGGCTAATAGGCATAGATATGTCTTTTCTTAAGGAAGTTAAGACCAACAATTGACAAGTAAGATCTCATGAAGTGAAAAAGATTTTATGTGGCTGGTAAGATGAATCGGTGCTTAAGAGCAGTGGCTGCTTTTCCAGAGGACATAGGTTTGGTTCCCAGCATCTATGTGGCAACTTACAGTCATCTGTTATTCTAGTTCCTGGGGATCTGATATTTCTTCTGCCTCTGTGGGCATCAGACATAGAAGTCGTACAAATATACATTCAGGCAAAACAGCCATACACATAAAAATAAGGCAATAACAACAACAGCAATAATAAAAACTTTCATACAGGAAAGGAAACTCAAGTGTAAAGGTAGCCACAGAATGGGGAAAAAAATTCTCTGCTGGCTATACGTTTAATATAATAGTGTCTAGTATATAGAAAGAACTCAAAAATTAAAAATAAGAAAAATAAATAAGCCATTAAGAAGTGGGCTATGGAATGGAACAGAAAGTTCTCAAAATCAGAATACAATGGAGGCCAGGCAGTGGTGGCGTACACCTTTAATTCCAGCATGGGAGGCAGAGGCAGGCCGATCTCTGAGTTGTTGGAATCTGTAGATACCCCACTATGGACATGTAGACTACTAAGTAATACTGTGTATTACCTAGGTCATAACTGCAATAAGATTACTTTTTCATTGTGTGTTGGGAATTCACATTTAAGTGAGTGCCCAGTATTTTTATTTACATTATTTGTTCATTCTATTGGGAATTGGGGGTAGAAGACACTCCAGTTTTAGATTTATTTTCTGTAAGTCTTTGGCACATGATACACAGATGTTTGATAACTACAATGCTAAAGAAATTTTTTTGGGGGGGTGTTTGAGACAGGGTTTCTCTGTGTAGCTTTGGAGCCTATGCCGGCACTCTCTCTGTGTAGACCAGGCTGGCCTCAAACTCACAGACGTCCACCTGTCTCTGAGCCATCAATGCCCGGCCACTAAAGACATTTTGTTATAATTAAAATTAACACTATACCACCACCAGTCACTTTTCAAGGGTTTTTTGTTGCTGGTTTTTTGTTTGTTTCAGTTCCTGGAACAAATTCACTTTACAGTACAAATCTACCTATTTTGCAGGGTACAGTGGCCAGCAAAAACAACTTTTTGTTCTGAGCATTTACTCTAGCCTTGCTGTCTAATGCTGCTGTCTCCTAGGGCGCTCAAACCAGGAAGTCTGGTTTAAAAGCTGCTAATGAAGGCCCTAGGCAGTGGTTTCCTTTGTTTTTGAAGGGTGAACAGGCCTTGGAAAAGGAACACTGACACCTAGCGGCAGAATCAAGTATTCTCCCAGGCTGGAGGCAAAGACAGGATCAAGTTAAATCAAGTGGAAGATATGAAAGCGCCGGTTTTGGTTGCTTCCACTTAGCATTCAGTCTGTTAACTTTAGCAAGATACAGGGAGGAACAGTTACTTACCAGTAAAGCTGTAACATTCATTTTCATAAAAACAGCAGGGGGAGAGTGGGCAGAAAGATGGCTCCACAGGTAAAGGCACTTGCCACAAACACACACCAGGGATAGTGAGAGTAATAAAGTACAGCAATATGAAAAAGTCATTCCCTTCAGCAGACACTGCAACTACAAGAAACCAAGCAGGATTTGAAAGAAAATTCTCTCAACTAGAACCCATGAGGACAAAATTCGTGTTTACTTTAAAATCCATACGGTGCCTGAATTTCTGATGCATGCACAAGTCTCAGTAAAAGCTACCAGCAAAGAGGACTCAGAAGCTTGGCTCCCGGGGCTCAACTAAGTGTTCCCTAATGCAGAAAATCCTGCAGACTTCAAACAGACCCACAAAAACATTCAGCTGCTTGGTCACATGTGCACTTCAGTACTGGGGATATATTTTTGCATCAGAGAGAAATATTTAGTTACAAATTTAAACATTTGGTGTTGACTCTTTTTTCTTTGCCTTTTGTTTGTTTTCTACGGGGTTTGTGGCTAGTTAATAAAAGGAAATTCATGTCAACTTGTCAACTCCGTAATCACTCTTGGCCACGTGCCACCTGTTTCAATACATATGTCCTTCTGAGCTGTGGCAACAAGGCTTCTGTTACCTTTATAAATATTTACTGTCTCTTACTAGATACAAAGGAATGGAGACTCCAGAGCAGCGTGGTTGTACAGTTGGTTGCTGAGCAGGAATATGTTTTGCAAATTCCACTTCTACCAGTGAACAGTAAGATGATTTTCTATAGGAAAAACAAAACAAAACCAGTTTTGAACTTTCTATCAATCTAAAGAGTCGCCAGGTACTTGCTGAGCTCCTCCAGTGGCCAGACACTGAGCTTTACACACTTATGTAAACTGTCTGGCATTATTGGCATGATTTTAATCCATCCATGCAGTTCTATAGTCTGTCTGCCCTGTTAAGGGTGGCACTCTGTCTACTACCATAAATGAGTGGTTTGTCAGTCTATGGTGCTTGGAAGGTGCCTGACAGATGGCACTGTGTGCCTGTCTACCCTGGCACTGTCATCCTCTGTCCTCAAAATGGAGTCAAAGCTGCTTGTAAAATGGAATCTCTCAGGGTGAGACATGGTCTGAAAAACAGCTGCTTTACACAATTTAGGGTGAACACAGCCTGATCTCAACAAAGCTTGAGATTCTGGCATTCCTCTCTCCCCCAAACCCAAAGAGTGGTTCTCATAAATCTACTCCAACCCTGTTTGCTGAACCTTTAACCCTCTTATGAATTACACACTTTGGACAACATTAGAAAGAAGGAGACCGGTTTCTTAGCAACCTTTAGAGATGTTAAGCTAGAAAGTCACAAGAATATATACACCCATTGTAAAGACACAAGCACAATTCTCTCATAAAGAAGATCATGCTTGCCTCATTGGTGCTCTCTCTCTCTCTCTCTCTCTCTCTCTCTCTCTCTCTCTCTCAAAATCCCAGCTTTGTTTCACATTTGCATAGCTCTGAAATTCATCCCTTTGTTGAGGCCACAAACCCCAGTTTTGCTCCCATGGAGGTCTCTGCTGCTGGGGTGGGGTGGAGCTGTATCCCACAGCTGACAACTGACTGTTGATCTCTGTGCAGATACAGACTTAGGAGCAAAATAATGTAATTACATATTTTTAATTCCCTAAGCTTTAGGGTGGTTGTATCAACAGCATTTCATTACTGGAACACTCTTTAGCCCCCACTGCCTTAGTGGAGAAATCTGAAACCCTTTGTAGTAGTGCTATGTTTCATAATAGCACAGCCTGGGATCTCTCAGTGGTGTCTTTGACTTTCCCTGTCTTCTCTCTGAACAGTGTAGGAAGCAGATTAGCTAGATGACTGTGTGTTACCTGCTTCAGCCCAGCTTGAGTAAAGATGTAACCCATACTAAAAAAATCTTAGTGACTTCCTTTGCTAGGGAGCCATCTCTCCACCCTATGGAAGTCCAGTCAATCATCCAGAAAAGTGGTAACACTGGCTGTGTGATCTGAGTTAAGTTCTTCAACTCTCCAAGCACTTCTGTCTTTAATATGGACACAGGGTAGCTGAGGTCTGGTTGGTCCATGTTCTAAGTTACTCCATATTGTAACTCCAGTGCTTTTTCAGGCTGTGCCTGGCCTTGAGAAACCCCATTTTTTAAAATTTAATTTTTATTTAAATTAAAAACAATCTTATTTTACATACCAATACCAGTTCCCTCTCCCTCCTGCCCTCCCATTCTTCCCACCCCCCAGCAACCCCATCCCATCCCCATTACTTCCCAGGGAGGGTGAGGTCTCACATGAGGGGATCACCAAAGTCTGTCATATCATTTGGGGCAGGACAGAGGCTCTCCCCCATGTATCTAGGCTGAGAGAGTATCCCTCCATAAGGAATGGGCTCCCAAAGTCCATTTGTGCACTAGGAATAAATACTGGTTCCACTGCCAGAGGCCCAGGCCTCCCAACTGACACCCACGTTCAGGGGGCCTGGTTTGGTCCTATGCTGGTTCCCCAGATGTCAGACTGGGGTCCATGATCTTTTTTTGTTTTGTTTTGTTTTTTGTTTTTTGAGACAGGGTTTCTCTGTATTGCTTTGGAGCCTGACTTCAAACTCACAGAGATCCGACTGCCTCTGCCTCCCGAGTGCTGGGATTAAAGGAGTGCACCACCAACGCCGGCCCCATCATGGTCTTGACCCCTTTGGAGAAACTCCATTTCACAGGAAGCTTTTGATACCATTTTGAAGATAAAGGACCATCTCTCTGACATACCATCCATGCAGAAGACTGATGAATTATGTATTCCTGGGAGTAGAAAGGGTGCCATCCTTAAAATTTGCTTAGGTGAACCAAAACTACAGGGGTACATGGGAACTGTCCTGGTTTGCTTTCAATTGCTGTGATAAAGACCATGCTAAAAGCAACTTGGGAGGGAAGCATTTATTTGGTTTACATGCCCCAATCACAGTCCATCACTGAAGTTGGGGTGGGAGCTGGTGCAGGGCAAACTGAAGCAGAAGAGACTATGGAGGAACATGAATTATTGCCTTGCTTTTCACAGCTTGCTCAGTTTGGTTTTTTATACAACTCAAAACCTCCTGGCTGAGCATGACAATATCAGCAGTGGGCTGACTACCTCCATCAATCATTAATCAAAGACAATGCCCCATAGGCTTGCCTACAGGCTAATCTGCTGGAACCATTTTCTTAGACGAGGGTCCCTCTTCCCAGGTGACTCTAGTTTATGTCAAGTTGATGAGAAATAACCGGCATGGGTATACTAACATACCTAACAGGGAAACCAGACCTGAGAACTTACCAGAGACACTAGGCTGAGGAAGGTGTGCAACTTCCTCACCTGGACCCCATAAAGAGATGAACGCCTAACACTGTGATGGCAATGCCCTCCGTGACCTGTCTTCTGACATCAGTGTCTGTATAAATGACCAACTCCCAACTGTCCTTGAGGCTTCAGCTCAACTTGATCTGGCTGCTGATGTGGTCTATCCCTGTGCTCACCCAGGTGGATCTCACCCTGCTGCTCCAGTGCGTTTGCCTCTGCAGTTGGACTCAACTCTTCAGCTTCACTCTCAAAGCTGTGATCCACAGAATTCTGAGAGTAGCAGCTTCTTCCAGGTAGCTTGTCTGGGTTTCTTACTCTTTCATTATGGGCTCTATTTACATATTTACCTGTCTATCTCTGGAACCTCTTGAAACTCAACTGCAGGCCCCTTAACCTTTTGTATCTATTCTGCAGCACACACACACACACACACACACACACACACACACAGTGAGAGAGAGACAGAGACAGAGACAGAGAGACACACAGAGAGAGATTTACAGTGTGGTGTGTGATATGAGTTAATAATTAAAGATTAGAATAAAAAGCTCATGTCCACCTCAACCAGATGACTAAGAAAAGCAGGATTCTGGAAATTTTCTGTGGGTTGCACCATGTCTATAAAACAATATGTCCAAGTCCAGCTGCTGCTACTTGTTAAATTAATCTTATTTAATGCCCCACAATTGAAGAATGGATAAAAGAAAATTATTACACAATGGAGTACTACTGAGCGGTAAGAAACAATGACATCCAAAATTCGAAGGCAAATGAAAGAACTAGAACCAATCCTAAGTGAGGTAACCCAAAACCAGAAAGACAAATATAGTATGTACTCACTCATAAGTGGATACCAGACATAAAGCAAAAGATACTCAGCCTACAATTCACAACCCCAACACACTCAGAATCTTCCAAAAACAAATGGAAGCAGATGAGGAAATCCACAAGTAACCATTTTGCTAAACTCCTGGAGTACAATCAAAGTAAGGGAGGAGTGAAAATATGAACAAAGCAGTCAAGACCATGATGGAGAAGCCCATGGAAACAGCTGACCCAAGCTAGTGAGAGATCACTGACTCAGGTCTGACAAATGAGGAACCTGCATAAGACCGAACTAGACTCCCTTAATACAAGTGACAATGGTGTGACTGGGACAATACATAGCTGGCAGTGAGTGCCAGATCTAACTCTAATGCACAGCTGACTTAGTGGAGTCCCT